TTTGTATATTTTGAAAATGGATGTTTTTTTTTAAGTTTTGTATTATTATCTTTTCGAATGAAACCAGATTATATTTTACTGAGAATTTACGATTGAATTTGGAAATAGTGGTGGTTTAACCAAATAATTATTTCACAAAATGCAAGAAAACAAACTGTCCTCACCCAGTTAAAGAGCCACATTTCTCTGTTATTTTACTCACAATATCAAGTTAAAATAACTATTTATTTTACTGTAGAATAATTTAAATTCTTGTTTCAAATCACATGAACCAAATTTCTGATCTGATGATGAATTTTATGAAACATCTGAATGAATTCAGCTCAGAAACATTTAGTGTGAACAGATCAATGTAACATCCTTCCATCTCAGGAGACAGAAACACGCCGCTAAGCATTCTGGGAAATAGTTCCCGCTCCTGTCTTTTTCTTCTTTCAGTTTTTTAAAGTGTTAACCTAAAAACTCTGTTTGTTCAACTCTTAATCAGAATCCTTAAGATACTTTTTATTATTGTTTTTCTGATTGATGCTCAAAAGAAGCAGGCGTTCTTTGTCCATTACACCTATTTGAAAATTTAAACTAAGGAAGGAAGAAAGAGGAAGAACACAAAGAAGAAATGAAACAAGAAACGATGATAGAAACTAAGAACCACAAAATACAGAAAGAAATTACAAAAAGAAGGAAGGGAAAAATGAAGACAAGAAAAAAGGAGAAGATGAAAATACACAAGTAAGGACAAAATAAGAGAAAATAAATACAGTGACTGGAAGGAATGAAGGAAAATTAAATGGTAAGTAGGGATGGGCATTTATCATATTATCATGATACATTTCTTTTGGTAAATATTTTTTTATTTATCATTGTGACAATAAATGGCAATATTTAAAATTCCCCCAAATTTTTACTGTTTTCTCCTTTTTGTTCAATGAGACTATTGATAATTACCAATAAGTTTGAAAATATGATTAAATAATGTGTGGTGCTTAGTGATACAAATCACACTTCTTTATGTATCCGAAAGAAAGTATTACAAATATATTTATGGTTTATAGGATATTTAAATTAGCAGAATTGATGTTTGTGGAGATGATTTCTGTCATGCAATATGTCACATAAGAGCATTTTAGTCCAAATTAATTCAGTTTCCACTCTAAAAATGTTCACTGAGATCTATCAAATGAGATGATTTCACCAGTTTTATTGTTTTAATTTCACCAGTGTACATAAAATGCTGCAGGAGCTAATTTAGAGCCAACTTTGTGTAAAGGTGCGGAACGTAACCCAACATGAGTAACTGGTTAAATAAAGGAGCTTCGTGTTTAAACCATTTAAACCATCGATTACCCGCTGTGGGTTTGTGTTTCACTATCGGACAAAGACAATCATAAAACGCGTCATATTGTGTTAATTATGAAAAAAAAGCAGATAAGAAAGCCGCTGATATCACAAAGTTCGTCACAAACGAAATAAAACTAATTTTTCTGTCATTTCTCCAAAACCTGAAGCTTAGCTGAGCTTTTTCCATCTCTGGAGGAATATTATTCCGTAATTTTTCTGTGAAAAGGTGAACTTACCGTTGACTTTTCCGAATGTCCTTTTTCAGTCTTTCTGACTGAAAACTTTCGCTTTCAGTTAGAAGGAAAAACAATGAGGTGAAGTCACTGAAGTACCACCGGCTGTCCAGCAGGTGGCGGTGCTGTGGCGGTAATTAAGAGTAAAATCAAATCAAAACTGATTTTTATCATTTAGTTCTCCAGATAACACAAATAAACATTTAGCTGTACACCTGTTTCACCTTTACTATGTATATTTAAAGTATTTTTCTGAATATCAGATGAAAAATGTGTTTGGGCAATTGTTTTTGAACCTATTCCTACTTTAAGTTTTAAAGTTAATTTTCTTTCAGAACATGGAAGCTGATGCTGGTTTTGCCTCCCAGCCTGCAGCTGTGCTGGGTTTGAGCAGCGATCCCTCATCCAGCCAACGTAGGGCTGCGTTGATCATCTGTATCTGCCCTGATGGGCAGGACAGGAAGACTTCCCTCCACTGGCCTCCGCCGCTGATAAACGAGCTGCGTGTCTGATGGAGTGGTCAGTGGCCACATAACCTACATTTAGAGTGGAGGGAGTGAAAAATGTGCTGGCTGCTGGCATGGAGACGTTTGTTTCATCTGTTTTGTCTTTGAAGTTCAGATTCCTGCCTGTTTTGTTAGTTCAGCCTCAGTTTGTTAAATTTGAATGCTTCCTGTTTATCGTGGAGTTTTTTCGCTGACGGTGCAGAGCTGAGAGTTGCGCCGCGCCTCAGTTATGGTTTATGGAGGTCGGAAAGGGTAAGCTCCTGTGCACTAAGCTACAATAAGACTTATGCTCAGGGAATGAGACAAAGGGCAAACTGATTTTATTATTTCTGATAGCGACACCGAAAATCCAAGCTGTGGTCTCAGCAGAGAGTTGCGATTATAACATTTAATCACGGCGCCCTATCGCTGAGCTGCGCAGGCTTCTCGCCTCGAGGTTTGATTTACCCGCCCTCTTCCTGAGGAAAAATCTCATTCAGTAGACGGATTGCCGAGCAGCTCCCTCTGACTGGCCTCTATAAATCATTCTTTAATCAGAGGCCTGAGATTGGGCGCAGACACCCGCAGGAGCTCCACGGCGACATCTCAACTCCTCCCCATGTGTCTTTGCAGTCTGGGGAGTTTTTACCCTCCGCTGTTTTCCACCTTGGGCCTTGTCTGCATTTGTACCAGTCATCAGAAAAAACGAAGAGAGATGACCGCCCACCGCTCCTCAAACACTTCCCCCGCTGGAGGGAAAGTTGTGCCAGATGAGGTCAGTTCAGACCCGAAAGAGGGAAACTCAGGAGTTCAGGTCGACCTAAAGGTCTCATGACGTGTCAGCAGCCTGTGAGGAATGATCCATTTTGCATTACCATAACTTCATCACACTACATTGTAAAGAGAAGTTAATGCATCGTTTCTTTGGCATAAATCATTTTGAGCTGTTAATGGTTTATTAGCGTAAAATTTATCGATTCTGCTTAGATCTTCTTTCGGTGTTGTAGTTTGGCCTCCATCCATCTGAGGGCGCTGCTGGTTATCCTTAAGAATAGCCAGTTGATACATAAACAAAGATGGCGGAGCCATACCAGAACGGGAAGGAGAAACGGTTCAAACAGAGTCTGATGGGATTCAAAATTCACTTTATGCAGTTCTGTTTTAAAAAATAAACACTTAACAAACTCATTAACCCCGTCGTGCATGAATTATGATCCTTTATGTCAGGATTTTTCCCCCCAATGTTTTTGATTTTCTTAAGACATAAAAAGTTGTGTGGGGGGGGGGATGTAAAACAAAAAGAAGTTCTAGGATTTTTTTCTATGTGATCAGTTGCAATTTTCTCCAAATAAAAAATTATTTGAGAAATATATCAGCAGTTTCAGTCTTTAGCGATTACTTGATGTCACAACATTTTATTTTTACTTGTCAGAGTTTTTTCTAAGGTAGAAGGAGGGACTGGATGATCCCGAGTTGCGTTTTCGTCTGCTTTAAATACATTTTCCCTGCACCTGCAGTGGATGGCCAGTAGTTGGCAGTGTATTGTATGAGGGTCAGTGGTCTGTGTGCATTTAGATGACTGCCCACTGCAGTGACCCCTATGCATGAAGAGGCTACATTTTCACTTTAATACTAGTGAAACAAAAAATTAAAATATATTGTTTGTTTTTGTTTGTTTTGTTTTTTTTAATGTAGCCCTTTATGCTATGAAAAGACAGCCAGGCCTCTTGGTGCTGAGGTTTTAAGAAAATGGCCGCTTATCAATTAATCGATGAGATCAGTCAACTTTAGATCAACTCATTAATACATGACTTGCTTCTGTAGGTCTGATATAAAGAATAGTAAGATAACTGTACCAACTGCTAGCGCGGTGGTGTTAGCATCAGGAACTCCAGTGGTGAAGCCGGAGTAACCCCATGGGGTCTTTCTGCCACGCGGGCAGAAAGACCCCATGGGGTTCGAACCCGTCACCTCCTGGGTGCAGGGCAGCTTTTCCAGTAAATAAAGTCGGCCAACATTAAAACATTAAGCTTCTGGGAAAAAGAAAAGACTAGTTTAAATTAGCTACAATTTCTGATCAACATCTGGACAAAATTATTCCAAAATCTTTTAGATTTTCCTCATAATCACATGTTTATATTTACATTTATGACATGAAATGAAAAGTATTTTCTGGCATGTACAGAATTTTTTGCTTATGAAAAAAGAAATCTTCCAGAAACGACGGTTTTAGTTTTGCTGAAATGTTGACAGATTTGCTATTTAAAAATAGTCTAATTAGCAAGAATGAAGATCAGGTGTTTCTGGCCTGGTTTGCTGCAAAAAATAATTAACTGGAGTTAAAAAAAAAAAAAGCTTGTAAACACACAAAAAACGCAGAATTAATTCTCACCACATAAGTTTGTTTTGGAGCTTCTCCATATCAGCCTGAGGAAAATGAAAAGTTATAATACAAGTGAAACTCAGGAAAAGTTAATTTATTTCAGTAATTTAGTTTAAAAAAATGGATCTCAGATTATTTTCAAGTGTTTATTTTAGTAGATTATTGCAGAACAGAATGAGATTCATTTTTTAAATTAAATCATTGAAATAAATTCACTTTTAGATAATTTTGCATGACGTGAAAACGAAATATTTTTGTGGAACAGCAGGGTTGTTGCACTGAAAAAAATGTTTCCTTAAATTAACTTAAAAAAATTATTTGTTGATGCTAATTTATTATTATTTTTGGTCAACATATAATTCTGATTTGAATAATTCTGAAACCACAATGTGCAAAACTAATAAAATTAGATGTAGCAAATTTTTAAGTTGGTTCAAATGAATATTTTTTCCAGTGTACAGGGTGGGAATGGTAATTACTGATGGTTATGGTTGCATTTCAACTGTTATTTATTTTTGCTGTTGCAGTAACATTTTAGATATTTAATCACTTCCATTTTCAAAATGTTCATAGATTTATTCAAAGGGACAAACTGCGCCGCGCTTGATGGCACAAACTTTCCACCAAGTGAGTAACCTGCTGAACGCAGGTAACCGGAGGGGGTCGTTTGTTTGTTTTTTTAAAGCAAAGTGCTCTGACGTCACCGTGTTGGAATATTTTTGCGCCACTCAGCTGGTTTGGAGCTCCCAGTCCGCCCATGTTTCCACAGAGCGCGCTGCGCTCCGCTCCGGCGCCCCAGCCGTGCGTAATGATCACGGAGAGCTCAGGAGCTTTAAAACAGGATGTCGCTTCCCAGGTCAGCTCGAAGCGACCTGACACCTTCCCTGGTGCTGAGCTGAGGAGACGCGGATCTGGATTCCTGGGTTGTTGGGAAATACAGCCTCCCGCCCCGTGGAGTGGTGGAAGTACTGACCTGTCAGTGTTTCTGAAGGTCTGTGTTGATTCGGAGTCATCTGGCAGCTCCACCGCTGAAGCAGGTGAAGTAGTTAGTCAGGATGGGGCGCCTGGTCAGTTAGAAAACCATGAACTGTTTGTCTAAATGGAGAGATGGCATGCGTGCTCATCTTCAGTCGACTTGTCCCGTTCTCACACCGGCTCAGAGGAACATCACTTTGTTTCTTATCTCTTTTTCTGTCGTTTCTGTGCTACTGCGCGCTTTTCCCCGGCGGTGCTGTCATGCAAAAGTCAGGTGATCCGACGCCCAGCTGTCTGCTAGCTGATGGAGCCAAGCGGCGCCTTCAGAAATCCCTGTCCTGTCTGTTTCCGCCGGACGCCAGGAGGAGCAGCGCTGCTGATGAGGCGCCTCACCCGCAAGCCGACCCGAGGCGCTCCGCCGCGGCCCGCACCGGCAGGGAGAACACCCCCAGTCCTCCGATGAGCCACCTGAAGTTCGGCAATAAAAAGTTACCAAACGCCATCATAGTCGGCGTGAAGAAGGGAGGAACGAGGGCGGTGCTGGAGTTCATCAGGATTCATCCGGACGTCCGAGCGGCTGGAACCGAAACGCATTTCTTCGATCGAAATTATGATCGAGGTCTGGAGTGGTACAGGTAAGAACCAACCATAAGCGATAAACGGACATCGTTGGGCGCGGAATTATATTATTCTTTATTAAGTTTTCAAAGGCAAAAACGTGAAACTGAATACATGGAGTCTGCAACTTCACTGCAAAAACACAAAATCTGTCCAGTTAATTTTGGTCTATTTCTGCTGCAAATATCTCAGTAATCTCGAAATAAGACAAAACTAACTTAAAAGAAACATTTCAGCAAGATATAGGAGCTTGTTTTAAGTAAATATTTCCTTAATATTGATGAAAAAGTTCTACTTCCATTGGCAGATAAATTAACTTATGGTAAAAATGTCTTTTAGTGAAATAATCTGCCAGTGGAAGAAGTAGAAGTCAATATTAAGGAATTATTTACTTAAAACAAACCTCTATATCTCACTACAAAACTACTTATTTCAAGTGTATTAACATATTTGCTCTATAAACTAGACCAAAAATACTTGGTAAGATTTTGTGTTTTTGCAGTGCTAAAGATATAAAAAGACTTTATATTAAACTGTTTTTTTTCCAGATTGGAGGCTAAAGAAAAAACATTTTTTGTTCTGAGTTTCTGATTCCACCTATAAATTATAAACTGTAAGCAACGGTTTATAGTAGACGTCATTCTGAAAGTTCATTTTGCTGCTTGATGTATTTATGGATCTGAAATTCTTTAATTTCTGTTTTCATGCATTTAATGATTTGGGGGAAATCGTCATATTTTCAGTTTTTAACCTGCTGATCAAGAGAAAATAAGTCAATTTGTATTTCATGACTATTGATTGCTGTTTGTCTGTGTAAGATTTGACTCAGACTTGTGGCTGGAGCCTCAGGAAACCTTTACTTTATGTAATTAGGTTATAATTATAGTCTGAAACCACTGAAAAGCACAAAACATAATAAACTTTATTTTATTCTCAGTTAAACTAGCATCAGAGACATGCATGGCTTTTCAAAGTAAAGGCCTTTTATGTTAATACATAAAATAGATTTTTTTGTAAATTGTCTTGAGATGAGTGTAAACTGAATTGAATTGAATACATTACACCTCAGTAACACACATGCAGGCCAGTCAGCATCTCTAGTAGCACTGGGCAGATTTATTCAACTTCACAAAATGCATTTTCTTTCAAATGTTTATAAATATAAATATAATATTTATGGTCTTCAAAAAAACAAATAGGAACATTTTTCTTGAGTATTTTGGAGTTACAGTGTCTGTGATTATCCTGAAGTTAGCGCTCAAACTTCACCTTAAATCTGCTTTCAAACTGCAGCAACAGACAAAAACATCAAGGCTGGACTGTTTGTTGCTTATTGATATAAACCCAAGAGAAATGCAAGTAGCTTATGGATGTACACCGTCACTTTAAATATGCAAGGCGGCCATCTTGAATGCCTGTGTAAAACTCTTGTGTCAAACTCGAGGCCCGTGGACCAAATCCGGCCCGCTGTAGCTTTTTATGTGGCCGTCTAGATTCTAGATGAAACACTAAGTGTGATTAAATATCATGTTATCAGTCAAATCAATGCAGTTTTTATTTGTTTATTGCCAAATTACATCAATCAGTCCCTCCAGTTTCCTGAGAATTATCATGGAAATTCACACAAAATCAACAAATACCCACACATTTGTGCTAATACATATTTGAGAGTTTATTGCAGATTTTTCTCAAAAATTTTCAAAAACTTTCTTACTTGTACTAAACAGCTGCCTCAGCTGTAGTTAATGTCAGGTCCATGATCCACACAGAGAGGAATTAAAAAATCACGTTTACTGTCAAAAACCCCACAAATATCACAAATATTTCCAAATTAGTACCACAAACACTTTGACTTTTATCGCAAAAAAATCACAAAATGAATCAAAAAATCCTGGAGGGACTGAAAAGATTATGAATATTATCATTTAATTTTAAGAATTCATTGATATTTTAATGGTTTGTGATCAGGTTTTATCAATCCATTCTGGCACAACCGGCCCTTTAAGAGGTTTCGTGACCTTGATTTGGCCTAAAACGAAAATGAGTTTGACACCGCTGCTGTTCAGTGAAACAAAATATAATAAAACCTCTGAGTTAAACTGTATTATTCAGCTGATTAACACCCCACACATTTAGCATGTCTTTAATTATTAAATTAGCCCCATTAGAGATTAACAACAAGAATATGTTTGTTTGTTGATAAGAAACGTATGTATGACAACCAGTCACTCTCATTTACTTTTAAAGACATGCTACTTTAATGATTGCTGTCTTGTAGTCTGCGGGGGAAATGTGTAGACAATAATTACAGAGTGAAAGTATCTCCACTAATTGGTGCTCTTCAGGATGTTTGGCAGCTGAAGCCCTTTTATCTCACAGTCGTCTTCCAGAGATGTGATCCCACAGGCTGTTACTGCCGTTTGACTGTCAGCTGTCAGAACTGGTGAAAGGTCAGACGGCGGATGCTTTGAAAATAAAACAGCTGTTTCATTAACAAGGCCCAATTCGTTGTCAGGAATCTTTTCGTTCTAAATCTGTAGCTCAGTGTGCATGGCCTGTTTTAAGCAATATCTAAACAAAAGAATAAAGATTGCTGCAGTGAACTTGCCAAGCATCAGATGGTGGCTTTCCTGGCCAAGTCTGTGCCGCGCTAAAAGCTGCAGAGCAGAACCAGCTTGGCCAGGTCCTCCTGCAGAGAACAAATAACAGCAAACAGACGTTTATTTTCACAGTCTTTCTGTGCGCCCTGAGCTGGTTTTGTTGTTTTCCATAAAGTTCAATTTGTGTTCTTGATACGACATCCTGTGTGTGTAAACGTGACCCAGATTATTCCAATGGCTGAATCAACACATCATCATGTTCTGCAACCGCGTGCTAATGGCTCATTCATGGATTCAGATGTGTTGGGGAAACATCGAAAACATGTCTTATGACATTAGCACCAGATCAGGAGGCGTCCTTCACTCTGGAGCAGAATTACACAGCAACTCTAAAAACCAGACAGAGCGTTGATGGTGCACTGTAAAACATTAGAAGGTGGTTTAACTCCATCTGCTGCCTGGAAAATGAAATTTAAGTCAACAAGAAAATAGTTTTGCTTTTAACTCAGAAATTAAAGTTCATGAAGTTGATTTAACAACAAGTTGACAAGTTGAACTCCATCAATATTAAGGAATTATTTCCTTAAAACAAGCTTCCATCTCTAAAAAGTTGCTTGTAAATTTGTTCCGTCTCATGTGAAGTTTGCACTAGAAACTGGACCAGATATCTGGTAAGATTTTGTGTTTTTACAGCCTGATGGTGGATTTGAGGCAGAGATGTCCAGACAGAAACTCTGTGCCAAACTTTTCCTCAGTCAACATCTGCAGTAGCAACCATGTCCAAATGTGCAGATAGGCTGGTTGCTAAGAGACCAAAGCTTATTTTTCACGCTGCATATGCAGCACCAGAACATCGTTGTGACTGGATTAACGAGGAACCAATTATTAAATGTTAAAACAGATAACCAAAGACTTTCCTGAATTCAACTTAAGTTCTATCAGAGGTTATTGAAGTAAACATGTATTTTCATTCATTACTGCATCAGATCCAGTGTGATGCAGTAATAAAACAAAGCCGGATTATTTAAAAGTGTTGAAGTTTCAGATTCAATAGTTTATGATTACAATGTACAGCCAAATTTTTGATTTGCTCTTTGTTCCTTTTTTATTGGTCTGAATGTCTCACTGGCTATAATCTGAATCTGCTTTGCGTCATTATTTCCTGATCAGGTTTCAGTCACCAATTTTCAACTTTTTGAAACAAACCCAAAAAACATGATTGATCAGCCAATTTGTGAGGCAATTATATTTTCACACAGGTTTGAAATTCATTTAAATTAAACAAAAACACAAGCAGAATAAACTTATAAGGTGACATTTACTTTTTAGTGGTGCTGCATTTGGAAGAAAAATCTTATGCTGCAGATCGTCTTGAATCAGGAATTTACTGTTGTAAAATAGACCTGTGTTTTGATTGTTGAGAATCAATTCAGACATAATAATAATAATAATAATAATAATAATAATAAAACATTTCAGGTTTTTTTGTTTGATTTTTTTCTGATAAGAACATAATCTAATGTAAATGATCTTTTGTTAGCAGCTCAGTCTCCTCTGCCAAATGTCTGAAAACATTTACCTGAACCACCATGGCCTACTTTAGAGACCCAGAACTAACCTCTTTCACACACATATATATATATATACTTATATATAAGTACATGTTCTGATTGCTTTCATGGTGATTTATTACTCCTGAACAGTTCTGGGCTGATGTGCAGGGAAGCTGTCTACGACACGAGTCTCAAGCGACAACAAACCACCAAGACTTTGTTCATCTACATTAAGAAACTGGGTTTAAAATGGAGCCAAGTTTGAGTGGCTTTGTTCACCCGCTGTAATCCTGCCCTAAATATATAATTTATGCAGTTCTGACTTGTTTTAATATTTTACGTTTGGTGGTAACTTCAGCAGCTTTGAACAGGTAAATAATCATGTTTCTCTAGAAATCCTGCCATGTTCTTTACTTTCTGTTTTTGTTCAGAGGTTTAATGCCACGGACCCTTGAAAGCCAAATAACGATGGAGAAGACACCAAGCTACTTTGTGACCAAAGAGACGCCGCACCGGATCTCTGCCATGTCCCAGGAAACGAAGCTCATTGTTGTGGTGCGAGACCCGGTCACTCGAGCGATATCAGACTACACCCAGACTTTGTCCAAAACGCCGGACCTGCCCAGCTTCCAGGACCTGGCCTTCAGGAACCAGAGCCTGGGGATCGTGGACGTGTCGTGGAACGCCATCCGGATCGGCCTGTACGCGCTGCACCTGGAGAACTGGCTGCGCTACTTCCCCCTGGCTCAGATCCACTTTGTGAGCGGGGAGCGTCTCATCACGGACCCGGCCGGCGAGCTGGCCCGGGTGCAGGACTTCCTCGGGCTGAAGCGCATCGTCACCGACAAGCACTTCTATTTCAATCGCACCAAGGGCTTCCCTTGCCTTAAAAAGCCGGAGAGCAGCGGCTCGCCCCGCTGCCTGGGCAAGTCCAAGGGCAGAACTCACGTCCAGATAGACAGAGACGCCATCGAGCAGCTGAGAGATTTCTACCGGCCTTATAACATCAAGTTCTACGAAATGGTGGGACACGACTTTAAATGGGAGTAGATGTTTGAGACTTGATGCTACGGGATGCACTGCATACAAAACGTCTACACAGCTGTTACAATGCCAGGTTCTTAGAAATAATGAGTCCAAGAAAAGTAACTTCAGAACTTTTTCCACCTTCACTGTAAAACATCAGAAGGTGGATTAACGTGAAAATGAAAATGCTGCCTGGAAAATGAACTTTAAGTCAATAATAGTTTTAGTTTTAACTCATAAATTAAAGTTCATGAAGTTGATTTAACAACAAGAGACAAGTTGTTTAAACTTTGTTTTTAAGTTCATTAATTTTGAATTGTGAGTTTTAACTTAATGCTGCAATTTAAACCAAATAATTGTTTCACAAAATGCAAGAAAAACAAACTGTCCTCATTTCTCTGATATTTCACTCACAATATCAAATTAAAATAACGACTTATTTCACTGTAGAATAATTTAACTTCTTGTTTCAAATCACATGAACCAAATTTCTGATCTGATGATGAATTTTATGAAACATCTGAATGAATTCAGTTCAGAAACATTTAGTGTGAACAGATCAACGTAACACACTTCCATCTCAGGAGACAGAAACACGCCGCTAAGCATTCTGGGAAATAATTCCCACTCCTGATTTTTTCTTCTTTCAGTTTTTTTATGTGTTAACTTAAAATCAAAAGCTTATTCAACTCTTAATAAAAAGTTAACAGAACTTACTATCTTTCACAAACTCACATTTAGGTTCAAAATCTAAAACTAAATATATTAACTTAAAGAGTAGAAGATAGTAGATACAACTACATGTTTTTACAGTGTTTGATATGAAATATACTCAGTTAAAAACTAAAACCTTTTTGGGGAAGACATAAAACAATTAAAAAAAATTAATTTCATAACTAGAAATGTTCTGTTTTTTTAAAATAACCTGTGGAAGGAGCAGTCCACCATGTTCTTCTATTATAAAATGTTAAAAGTTACAGGCAGTGCGCCACAGAGGCCCTCACAATGCAAAACCTTGGGGATGCTGTAAGTATTAATTTAAAGCTTTGCAAATTTATAGCACCACATTTATTTGTTTTTTTATAATACCTCTGGAAAGATTAGTTTAATTTATGTAGTAGTATTTATGCACATTCAGTAACATTTTTATAAGTGCTCCAGATTTAGCCAAAAGTCTATTTTTCTTCCGTTTTTCCTAATAATGAGTAATTTGCCTTCTAAAAACAAGCAGGTTACACGAAATAAAGTCAAAATGATGTTAACTACACAAATTTTATCAATAAATACAAATCAGTACAGGCTAAAAGTCAATAAACCTGACATTTCAACAAAGATGTGTAGACTTTTCAGGTCAGCTGTGTCCCACATCGGGTTTGCTTGACACACAGCTGAAGTGGATGTCTTGAGTCATTTGTCTCCAGACATTTGTCAAGCCATTGCAGTTCTTTTTTTGACGAGACTCTTATAAACACGGACCTGGTAGTTCCAGCAGTCTGTTACCAGCATCAGCATCCTGTTTGTTGTCAGACAGAAGAACCTTCCAGCTCTGGGATCACTTATTTCAGTTAGTGCCGCTGCAGATTCCTGCTGACCAGATTGCTGACTTTCTCACAAAGGGAAGAGATTCCGTGGAATAGGATTAGTTCCTCTTTAAGTCAGCTCCCAGGCTTTAAAAGAAAATAATCAAGGCATGCCTTGAAAGCAAGACCTTGGAAAATGTCAGCGAAGTCTTTAGGGAGGGAAGCATTAAGCTGCTGTACGATGGTGGGACGTCCAAACCGCAAGGCCACCAGGAGCAAACCACCGGAAAAGAATCTGTACAGCGATTATTACCCACGGTGTTCCTTCCCAGCATGACGCAAATTCAGCTAGAACATGAGATCAAATCTGTTTTCTTTTCTAATGTTTCTGTTACGATGATATCAAATCACTTTAATGTTTGTCCCTAAGTTTCATTAATTAAAGCAGAAGGAAGCGCTCATTATGACTGTTTTGATGCTGTTATATTTAAAGGCTCGACCTTGTTAGATCAACACTGGGAACGTCTGGATCTTTACTATTCCTGTACTATTCCTGGCTCTCCATATATCTGCTCGGATCACAATTCGTTTGAGGTTTATCGCGTTCTGTAAGGTTTGTTGTGAGCTTAGAGGCTGATGATGGGTGTATGACTGGGTGTAGGTGGGAAGAATTTCAATCACTTCTCAAAGACAAAGCAAGGAACACTGAGTGGTTGGAGGTTATCAAATAGATTCTGGGACCGAGTGTCACATTATGGCAGCGAAAAGTTTGTATTTGGTTACGCTCTGTGAATACTAACGTCCATGTTTGTCTGCTTGCTGCAGAAGAATATCACTTGCTGATGCATGAGCAAGGGGCTTATCTTATGAATTGAAGAGGTGGGTTGTGGGTGGGAATGCACTCATGTCACATATGACACTAAATATTGCTATGCAGATTATTCAATACACATTTTTAAAGCCCTGTGACTTATTTGGAGCTTTTCTGCTGTTTTAAGTGTGTGTTGCATTTCATGTTTGTGAAAGAGATGCAGCTTTACAAAGGAAATGTGGAGGGGCGTTTGTAAAATTACACAGTCAAAAATTAGCAATAATTTGGGTTATTTAGCCTGACAAGAAAAATAAACTGAAGGGTTTGTTTTTCAAACTCAAAATTTTACTATGTTATTAATTCATTTATAAATGTAACGGTTTCAAAATAAATATTTAATTAGAAAGATAAGCATTTAGTGAGCAAGCTAAATATTTGGCTCTGAGCTAAGCTAAATACTTTCCTAGCACAGGGCTACGTAAAATTGACATCTAAGTGACTGAATAGTGCAAATGAATTTAAAATATTAAGCAAGGTTATTTTCTCTCTAAATAATTCAAATTATTGCCGTTAGTTTTTAAATGTGTAATTTTACGAACATCACGTTCTCATTGTTTTCCCAAATTTCTCTCTGTAAAAGACCACAAGAGATGCTAAAATAAAGTAATTTACAGGGCATTCAGGAATTAATAAGACTGAAAGAATATAAACATTTTAACCTTTGACCTGCATTCCATAACTATTCACTATTAAATCCTGGAGGCAGAAGCTAACGGCTAGTCCAAGAGAGATCAATGAATCTCTGTTAAAAATCTTCACAGCAGTTTAAACTAACACTATTACATGAACCTTTAAAACATCGAGGTTGTATTAGGTCAATATATACAAAAACACTAATCCTTTTCCTATACAGTTGCAAACAATCAATTTAGTATCAATAACCACAAGCATTTATGTAAACAAGCCTCAACAATGTTTTTTTTTTTAGGATGGCTGAAACCGGCTTTTACTGTCATAATTTTAGTTAATGTGTTTTATTTTCCATTATGTATATTTTCTGTGCTATTAGGACATATATTCAGGAAAGTTCTAAGTAGGAACTAATATTCAGAATTTTGGTTCAGCCGGGGCACATGAGAGCGATGCACCCCCTGGTGAAGCACGAGGAGAATAATAAGTGGCAACAGAAAAGGCCAGTTTAAGTTAAAGCAGTTTAATGAATGCTGAAAATTAGTTACAATGACATCATTTCAACCTCTAGAGAAGGATCAGACAGCGAGGTATGTTTATCTGTTGTATATCATTTTATTTCTTTATTGTATTCATGGCACCGTCTTATTCAAGTTTTGCTTTAGATCACAGTGGCGTAGTATTGACATGACGCTGGTTCCGCCCCCATGCTGACGTATAACAAGCCTCCCCCAATCATTCCAGGGCGTTTGTCAGCAACTGACCAATCGACGGTCTTAATTTCTCTGGAAGTATTCCTCCCTTATCTGGAGGAACTGACCTGTGACAATATTGTCAGTGTTTATCACAGCAGATTTTGAGGAAAATAATAAGAAATCATGGGGAATGTGCCTTTACTCAGAGCAAGGGCGTAGGTTCGGTCTAAGTTTTGGTGGGGACCTTAAACCCCCCGGCAGCACAGTGAAATGCCCAAGAGCACCGAACATTTTTGAGAAGGGGGGGAAACCACATTGGCTTAATAATGGTGTGCTCATAATAAACTGAGATAATTTCACAGTATATTTCATATCTGAGAACTAACCTCACCTGGAGCCCTGAAGCTCCAGCCACCTCTCCATCGTTCTGCTCTGCCCCTTGCTCTGCTGCTCATAATTAACAGACCTATTCTACCTCACATTCAGTGCTGACCTTACTAAACACCGGACTTTACAACAAATGTGATAGATATCTAACTTATGGGTCCACTCACTGTACTTACAGCCGACGTAGCGAAATAACTTCTAATGTCTGTCCTTTTCTTTTTTGGTGGCGACATGGTCTCGGAGACTCAGAAGGAGACGCGTGTGCCCAACTAGCCACCGCCTTTTGCAGCTAATCAAAGAACGTCCGACGATTCAACTGACACCCCCTCCCCCCACCCCCCCGATAGCACCGTTCCGACACGGTCTCGGAGGCTCATAATATAATAAATGTCAAACTAAGAAGCTTCCGTTCCGCGCACCGCCTGTTGCTAATCAAAGATCGTAGATCCACGTTCTTTGAGCCAATATGGCAAAAATTGGTCGGTACTTTTTCATATCCCGTGAATATTGGTCGGGAATGTCCCTACCGTCCCTACCCAAACCTACGCCCATGACTCAGAGCGTGAAGAGGGCGGAATATAATTTATTATATTTCCAAAACCAAAAAGGAGTCTGGAATAACACAAGAAATAGATCATGGCCTGCTACTGCTGTAAAGTTAAATGAAACTGATAGACGGGAACCACCACATGTCCTTCTGCATGAAGGTAACTGGTAGTAGTAAACATCCCACGCTTCTTGATACTCAAATCAAGCCCTGTAGCGGTTAATTAAACAAATAAATAAATGAACACAAGTGAATAAAGAAAACTATATTTAGGTATCTCCTTTTTCATAAATGCTGTTTTTAACCTAAACAATGTAGTAAATTATCTGGAAGTAATCTGGCAAACGGCCCATGTTTTAACGGCTCAAGGCTAATGGCTAACGGCTCAAGGCTAATGGCTAACGGCTCAAGGCTAATAGCTAACGGCTCAAGGCTAATAGCTAACGGCTCAAGGCTAATAGCTAACGGCTCAATGCTCACGGCTCCAGGCTACCAGCTAAGTCAAACACACACAACTCAGTCTGATTAAGATAACAATGCTAAACATCTGGT